ATGACTACGAACAAATGAAGATTCGGAAAGTTCAACATCGCTCGGCTGCCGGTGATAATGTTGGCATTAATGCATGTCATTCGAACACTGAAATTCAACACGATCAACACAGAACTGCATCCAGTACAGTTTTCGAAGACAGGAAGTCAATCACTATAGCAACGTTGAAACACAACCAAAATGTCTCAAGTTCGAACAAAAGTTGTCCTCATATTGTTGGAATCAATGACGACACTGCTATAACGAAGACCACGCATTCAGTGAACCACTTCAGAGAACTTGAAGGGGATATTTTACATTCATCCAATTCAGGTGAAATTACAGAACTCTCACAAAAACAGATATGTGATAATTATGCAGATGACCTGTCACAGGGTTTGCCTAAACCAGAAAGTTATAACAATGACATTGAGAAGGATCCAAACGAGTCAGGCGATGATGTAGAAATATTAGATGAAAACATTGGCGGTAGCTCTGACATCGATGTACCTATGACATCATTAAATCCATTCCGTAAGCTGGAAGACGGAGGGGTAGTTGGCCAATTAGATTACAGAGTGATACAATCACCGGGAAATCCGTTTGATTCGATGCAGAATGTCGCCCAAAGTTCATGTTCACTATCAGATACAAATGAAGAACTGACACCGAAACAGCGATATGACATTTATTTGAATACATTGCAGGCAAGTTTTCTACCTTTGCCAGAAAGTGATGACAATGATGATGATGATGATGATGGGGAAAGGAATGAGAATACAAATGGATTATAGATATTGAGGTAGAACTCGTACATGATAACATTGAAGAATGTTGTATCCATGGTTCCGATATCGAAGTAACAATGACGTCATTAAACCCATTCCGTAAGCTGGAAGACGGAGAGACAGATGTTCGATTTGAGGAAAGAGTGTTAAAATCTCCGGGCAATCCGTTTGATTCGATTCTGAATGTAGCACGAATCACAACAGAAACATCGAAACAGCGATATGACATTTATTTGAACACATTACTGGCAAGTTTTCTACCTTTGCCAGAAAGTGGTGATGAGGAGGAGAAATATACAGATAGATCAGATGATAATGTAACACTCACAGATGACAACTTCGAAGAATGTTGCTGGGTTCATGATTACAATAGCTCCGATATCGAAATACCTATTACGTCATTAAACCCATTCCGTAAACTTGGAGATGGTGACAAAGATTACAAATTACGGAACGGCGCAATGAATTCTCCTGGCAATTCGTTTGTTTCGATGTTGAATGCAGTACATCGTACCTGTCCAGTCATAAATGACGGGCTGACACCGAAACAGAGATATGACATTTATTTAGATACTTTACTGGCAAGTTTTCAACCACTTCCAGACAGTGACGACGAAGACGTATATAGTGACAACGACAAAACAAAACAAGCAATGGCGAATGATGCTAATAATAATGTGTCCGCGGAGCAAGAACAAGACGAAGATCCATCGATTACGAGTAAATTATCGACAGTTCAGGAAGACAATAACGACGATCAGCTTCCTTGTAAAACTACTCGTAAAAAGAAATTGTCAGTATGGAAAAAAATAGCAAGGAAATGTCGAGTAATCAGATCTCCCTTCAGAAAATCATATGAAAAATTATAGTTCTAGTCTTGAGTGCTATTTTTAATTTTGTTATTATTACGCTATTAATAAAACATTTTTTTTTCAACAACTCGATCTTATGTGTTCTTGCATTACATTCCTCAGGAAAAATAGTGTTTTCTTGGTCGGTGTAGTATAATGTTTTATCAACGCTTGTATTTCAGTTTATCTTATCACATGGAACCAGTGCCCCGGCTATGAAAACAATCACATGAATAGAATAATATTTTCTAAATAGCACAAGCTCATGCATAAATAAGTTTTATCAAGTATGATATTTCACACTCAGTCCCTCCACCGCCTCTCCAAAGCTCCATAGACGACCGCGTTTTTTAGGAATACAAATTTTCACGAATGATTCCAGCTTTTTGAAAAAATAATTTAATAATTTTGAATTTGATGGAAATGAAATCACATAATCTAAGATCCTTAGAAGAAAGCACACTCAGCAAAGATTTGCGTTAGTTACGGTCAAAACCGGATACAATCTTTTGCCATTATTTTAACCGAATTTATGTCACTCAGCTAGCAAATTTCAAAAACGTTATGCGTAGAAGAGTACAACACTCAACATTGAAATAAGTATTTCCGTATTCCACCGGTAGAGGCCGCTGACAGTACTCATTATAGGTCATCTCGTATCTAACAATGAACACCAGAACAACGAAATGCTAGCGATGATATTTTCGCCGATATCATGTTTATTTCAGACAGCGACATTTACAAACAAGGTAAACCAATTATCATTGTCGTTATTTGATAATTTGAATACACAATGTAGAGTAGAGGACATTAATAAATGTATTTTTTAGTGTCTTTTGTTTCACCAGCGGGTTCCTTTAGTGTGTGAAAGCATCACACATTTCCACAGCAACGTTGAAAAGTGTGACGTCAATCTGAGAATAAAATATGAAGTTGAATGCGTGGATGTGTGCATTTAGACAAAAATGTCTACAATCAATATATCTACAGCCCCGGATAATTTGTTTTATATTTATTTAACAATATCCATTGGAAAGAATGATAATGATGTATACAAAGCACACAACACGTATAGAAAACTAAAAAAATAATGTTTACCCCCGGGGGCAGTTGACACATAGCTGGGTAGGAAGGTGCCCCTGAGTGCACAAAAGTGTGACCATTTTTATACCTGGATAGTGGCAAAATCTATACCCATATTTATACCAAAGTACCATTTCTGTCATCACTGTTTATTCTAAGTAAAACTGTTACCGTATTTGCTCTATAAGAAGAACATCTACAATAGAAGCACATGTAAGCCAACAGTTGCATTGTATATAGATTTATTAATTTCCGGGTTGATGTATACTAGTACATGTATATGGATCTTAGGTGGGGATCAGAGGTGGAGATATTCGCTCTTATACGGACCAATAAGTATACCAAATCGGAAAAATATTACCAATATTTATCACCGATTTATACCTATCTTGACCAGAAATAAGACCGTTACTTATACATAAAATTAAAAAAAACGAGACCCATTTCAGGGGCACATCCCCATTAGGCATGTTCTACGTATAGAATAGAATATTGCTTTATTACAACGTTAAAGAAAATTTGACAATTCTTTTTTGGTTTCTACGCATGTAGAAGGTAATAAAGCTAAAAACAAAACAAAAAGTGTGACAAACAAACAAGAAAAAGTAAACTACTGTGTTCATATTATTTGCTATTTTATTGTATACACTGTTGTAATTGCTGTCTAGTATGGGCATTCATAACACATATAAATTTGTCATTGTTTTTGATACCGTTGGTGTTATCAAACAAGGAATATAATTCCTGTCTTTTAGATTCACAAAGTACACATTCTGTGATAAAGTGTAATTCATCTTCTATGACTTGGCACTTGATGCATTTTCTGTCCTCAATATTTGTTTTTGGTCGTGTATGTCTACCTTTTTTTGTTTTTGGTCGTGTATGTGGGTATTGTCCCCCGGATGTTTACAAGCATGTACCCTAGAAATATTAGGATATATGGTCTAAGCCAAAAAAAAACAACAAAAGAAGACCGAGAAAGGGGTTGTAATATTTCGTATTTAAAAAAAAGATCCCCCTACAGATTCTCTCGACAAGGATTTGTTAATTTACATGTTGCATAAAATCAAGATAAGCAAAAGTTATCGTGAGTGCGAGATTGTACATATTCCACCTTTTGTGCACGGGTAAACTTTGAACTCAGTTTGGCGGATTGTTACGTTAGGACATTTTACTGCAACATAATGGCGCAATAGTTCCTGCTACTTTGCCTGGGTGCGATTATTACACTGTTTATTTTCATTGTAGCTGATTTGTTAAATATAAACAACACATTCAGAGCACATATTTCATTGATTTGACGATTGTCTGAACTTTTCATAGCGCAACAAGTACTTAAAATAGTTCGACACTCAGAGTCGCCACGCCCATCCTATTATATTACTCCGCCATATTGCAGAGGAAGTTGGGTGAATCACAAATTCTAGTTTATTATTTCCTGGTTAAGTTTGACTGCTGTTAAATTACCGAATGATCCCACGTCATATTGACAATCAGTGAGGTGAGTACACATTTGTTGAGTCTGTCACGCCGCTGTTCTTGGTGGGTGTCATTTTGTTCAAAATGTTAAACATACGGCGAAAAACCCGCCGCCGGTATTTTGGTGTGGTGCCATTTGAGTTCATCGACTGTGTTGATTTCAATGGGAGAAACCGAAAGCTTTTGTCACTGTGCTGTAGTCGACTGGTTTGTGTATGTTGTACCTCACTGCATGCAAATAGTTACTTGAATTCGGGTGTTAGCAGACGTATTGAATCAGAACTTGCGCTACGGATGACAGCCAGGGCAGTGAATCGGCATGACTCTCATCAGCGATAGCTCCCGTTGAATGTCGCCGCAATAAAAGTTCACGCGACTGTAAACTTTACGTGCAGTGTGTTATTATTTGACAACTCGGCGTTCTCCATTACTTGTTTATTTATAAAATATTGAAGTAATACGTTGTTTTGTATTACACGGCGTGGTACTGAAGCCTGTAGTGAACTTGTCCATGTTTCGATTTGGTTTATTCGAACATTTTAAAACGCGGGTTAAGTTGATCATAATATTTTTATTTGTAATGTTTGTGTTTTTTGTATCACTTTGCGTATATGTAAGCACACCAGTGACAGGTTGAGTCGCTAGTCCGAGTTGAAACCTACATCGGTCCCAAAACATGTGTGAATGGCCCCCATTGTTTACGAATTGGGAGGTCCACGGCGAGGTCACTGTTGGTGTATGACTTCTGCTTTTGTGTTGACTCAGACATTACTCACTCACTCGGTCGTTTTATTGTCAACATAACATATTAATTAAAGTTTATAGTCCTTGTCAAATGTGCTATATATTTGGCACGTGATCAGTTTCAGTTTTGAGCTGCAATCAATTTCACAAAACAACAGCATGCACAGTTCAAACAAACATATTTGTACCAGTGGGTTTTCCATCTACACAATTGCCTATTCCATTCAGTCGCAGGTCGAGGAAGGTTGTTGTGGATTGATGTGTATCACTGTTATATAACAATACCTTTTTCAAATATCAAAAGTTCTTTTTTATACTCGCCTGTTAAAAAATATGTGCTGCAAGAATTTTTCTGTGATTTGTTGTTGGAGACAAATTTTCACAAATTGCTGGATGTGTTCAAAATTGTTGTCGATTTTTTTCTTATTTAAATTTTACTGGTAAATTGAATATCCTGGTAAATAATTAATAAGATGATGTAATACATTCGTGACATTGATAACTAAGTTTTTCAATAAAATAATGAAAGTATAGTTCCTTAAAAGCAATGCAGGCTCTATTGTCTGGCATTGTTGTAGAAGGAGCTTCTGAGTCTGATATCAACAAAGATGCAACCTTCCTCCATTTTAGAGATTATAAACAAAGGTAATTACATAACGAAAAAAAGACTAGAATTTGAATAATCCAGAGTGGCAGATTCTTCCATTTTTTTTTGTAGTAGAGTACATTTTTATAAATGATTTCAACATTTCATTGTCTATATATTAATGAATACAACTATGTATACCTGATAGTTCACCTTGCTGTTGTGCCCTAAGTAGCAAGAAATCCTGAAAGAAAGTCAGCTATCCTCACTAGAAGCTTATCTACAAGCATCTAAGGGCATCTATTCATCTAAAATTATATAGCACAGTTTAGTGTTTAAACCTAAATAGCATAACATTTGTTTACTGAATTAAATTTACAATGAAAAGTGTGATTAACAGTGTAAACAACTTAAACAAACATGTCCCTTGATTCCCTTGTCCAATCCCTGGGATTGACAGCTTCCTCTTTAAAATAAAAATAATATTGTCATGTTTTATAAATACTTTGTTGTTTCTAGTCTGGTGTATGTTCCACCAATTTTAGTTATCATTCTATTGTTGTGTTGAAGACTCGCTGAACAATACACAATGTATCTTTTTATTTGGGTTACCACTGACTGAACCTTGTAATTCCTCTGTTGGTGCTTCTAGTGAATGCCTGCTTGTCTGTAAACTTAAGAACACTCAGTTGACCAGATTATGAAAGGTCAAATAGGTTACGGACATCACAACATTATCAAGAGTTTAAATTAAATTCTGCTTCTCTATTCAGGATTTGAGTGGAGTCATTAAAACATATGCTTATCAATTGTCATCATCAGTGATATGCTGAATTTTACCAATTCAAGTATGTTCTATGATTAGTTTAAATTACTTCCCTATTAATTGTGATTTATTATTGTACATCTGTCACCTTATCTCTAAGTTACAGCATGCAGTAATGTTATGGTATTACATAGGTATCTGTATCCTTCCTTATTGGGAAATGCAATATTTCAAATATGGAATGATTATGCGATATTTAAAAAATGGGCAAATTTTAAAGCAAAGTTCATAGATAGGAAGTGTCATTAATTCACGTAGTTTGGGGTGGAGAAGATATACAGTGTATAACATGGATTTATAAGATGACTGATGCAAGGGTGATGTGATCATAAAATCGTCATTTACATGTAAGCTTACATTTCTAGAAATTTGTATGAAAATTAGTGATTTTGTGAAAGAACTTGGTCATGTTCACCTCAGATCGTTTCTGACAATGTCTTTGCTTATTTGCAAAGCATGTAATACACTCGTTGGCATTTTTTAATGGAGTGATACTATTGGTTAGAAATGCGTTTGATTGATTCGCACGAACTGGGGTCACTTTTAAATGTAGGCAAAATGTGAGAGATCGCTTCTCTTGATATCTTCACTGCACATCACCGTACATGGTTATACAAGTTGCAGACTGTTATCTTATAAATTCTTGATAATAAGAGTTTTACGATATTCTCCTGTCCTGTCTTTGTGCATATATTGCAGTATTCAATTTGTGAAATTATAATATAAAAGTGACACACAATTGTAATACTAAGTGAACTAGAAAAACTGCATGTTGCTTTATTGATATATTGTCTTCATGTTATATATACTCATGAAAGTTTTACCATCAGCAGAATTGTGTTTGGAGTCTTTTGCATGTCAAGTAATATGTATACTGTAATACATACAATAGCTATGGTATCTGCAAATAATCGTATCAAAAGTTCATAATCAAATACCCATACATCATCAAGTAGTACTGTGGATTTAATTGCGCTTGTGTTTTCTGCATTCTTTTCCAAGTGTAAAGTTAAGTCACTAAATCACACGCAGGATTCTCCGGTCAATGATCTAGGCATATCACTAATTCACACGCAGGATTCTCCGGTCAATGATCTAGGCATATCACTAAATCACACTCGGGATTCTCCGGTCAATGATCTAGGCATATCACTAAATCACACGCAGGATTCTCCGGTCAATGATCTAGGCAAACTATAAAACAAATATTTGATGAAAAGAATTTTTCATTAAGATTTGTCTGAGATGCACACCAGACTCTTGAGTTTCTGTATAGTCTTTGTTTCGTCTCTTTTGAATTTCATACATTATTTTCATACACCAATTTAGTTTAGTACATAGATCTTAAAAATACAGGTCTATGTTTAGTGCAATCTCAAAGCAGTGTTCAAAGGATTCATTGTAGTGAAAACAAGCAAAACGTTTGTTTGATGAATGACGCAATACATCAGATTTCACTCGGCATAACTCATGAATACTGTAACTTTCACATTTTATATTTGACCAAAGTTACTATAATTGAAAGGCCTTGAAACAGTTTTGCTGACTGTACAAAAATAGTCTTTCTTGATGTCAACTACTGTAGATTACTTTATTTTCACTTGGAATTAATTTTCACCATTTTCACTGAAGGAATGATTTGGTGAAAATAAAATCCAACGAATATACCTTTTTCATGTAATTTACATACAACTCTCCAAAAATCAGTGAAAATTAATTCAAAACAAAACACCTAAAAAGTCTTTTCAGCAAAAATTAATTCCAGTGAAAAGAAAGTATTTTACAGACATGAGAAGCCAGGCCATTTCTATGAGGTGTGTATTCATGTTTTTGACCTTGAGATGATAAGGCACTTATAAACAAAGAAATGCGTAATGTTTCTCACAATTGACATTGACATTCATGGTGGTTGTGTTTACCCATGGCAATGACTTTGTAGCATTTACTCTCCTAAAGTAGAACACCTGGATTGGTTTTAATCACTGTTCCCATGCTATATTAACATGTGTCTTGTATTGATTTTCTGTTTTTAACATTTTTTCCACCAGACTTTCTCATCTAAATATTTCTTTACTTTTTTCTTGTATTCTTTAATATTTGAGCTCTAATTTTGGACAAAATTTGAGTCTATTTTCAGTTTTAACTCAATTTGTCCCATTCTTCTGAAGGAAACTGCAGACTTACATGTATAAAAGGGACTATTTTGTGATGGAAACTGGTGGTAAAAAAGTTAAGGCTTTAAAATGATCTTGTATATTTCGTTTTTCATTTTAGTCTTCAAAAGTAATTTGCTTTCTTTACCAAATGAATGATATGCCTGGGTTTTGTATTCTAATTTCATTATACTGACTACTGAGGTATAAACTAATTAAATTGCGACAATTAACAAAACTGCATTTCCAGGAAAGGTGTATGTACCTTTGCTGGCTATGTTTTTTTTTTGCACATGTACATTTTAGGTCCCAAATTAGTTTTTCATTTGTCTTTGAAAGGTTTTGAAAAGTCTTAGAAATCAAGCAAAGCACAATGGAAGTACAATTTTCCAGTGCAAAGCAATTTGTTTCTTTGTGTTCCTAGAACAAAAAAAACAGCCTTATCTCTGAAACTTTTGACACAATTGTTTCAGACAAGATGATTGTGGCGTGTACGCTTAGTGTTTTGTTCATCCTCAGTTTTCCAGTCCACTCAAGTCACTACTGCATAAACCTGCTGTGTAATAAACATTATTATAGTGCAACTTTCCAGTAAGCAACAAATCTTGGTCATATTTGGCAGCACATTATATTATGGCTTTGCAATGGCACTATTACTGGTTTTGGTGTCACCCTCATGGATAAGACCCTTACTTTGCCCACCAAATGCCATT